TTAAATCATCATTTATTAGGGCGGGATGCAATACTTTTGAGGATGTATGTCTCAGGCATGCCCGTCTATATCGTTACCTCTTACCCAGCGTAAGGTGGTACTTCAGCTAGTTCTGATATCTGTCTTGACCTATATGTAATTATGCTAATTAATGAATGTTTTTAAGAATCTGTTTTCCAACTCCTCGCCACAATAAAGCAATTCCCAGTGAATTTCGATATGCGCTTTTGGAATGTGTTCTGTCACTAAACAGGCAATTATTAAAATAAATGAAAGTTTACAAGTTGAATCATTCAAGTTCGTGACATAACCAGGTTTTTAAAGTGGAATCGCATTTAGAAACTGATAAATTGCCAAACATACGAGTTAAAATTTTCGTTTCTAATTTTTACGAATTTTATCGAAATATCTCTTCGGGACAACAAGAACATTTAAAAGAAAAGTTTTCTATACTTTAAAATCTAAGACGTGTTTCAAGGCACATGGAATTGTACCGGAGCTGGAAAAAGATGTAGTTCCTCTTGGGCATTCATAGACATCACATATGGAGGAAGAATGAGAGTGTGTGAATTAATTTCCATCCTGCCAAGGGAGGTAAGAATAATTATCTCCCTTTTAATTTAATGAAGTCGTTGAAGATGGAGTTTTTCCAGAGTGAGAGTAAAAAGAATTCGGGTTAAGAATGCCGGAGGAGAAGAGAAAAGATGAATTCAACAGTGAGTTGCTTGTATTTTAAGAGATTTATTAAATTCATGCGGAGTGAAAAATAAATTGCAAATAAAGGACGGACAAAAACTTTCGAAGTTTGTCCGAGTTGTTATTCAGATAAAATATCAAAAATTCATTTTGCATTATTTTAATAGGGCTGCTATAATCATCCATATTTTCGCTCCGAGCAAAGGAATTTAGAATATTATAATCTGCGTCTAATGAATAATAAGCGGAGTTTTAGAAATAATGATTGCAAAAAAGAAAATGAATGTAAATACTTTATTATGAAACGAGTTAAAACATGAAGTGGAAACAAATAGATACAATGAAGAGATGTATATAGATAGATAGATAGATAGATAGATAGATAGATAGACAAACAGACAGACAGATAGATAGATAGATAGATAGATATGAGTAGACTGACATAGATAGATAGATAGATAGATAGATAGAAAGACGGACAGACAAATACAGAATAAATGAATAGATAATAGATATGGATAAAGACTAAAATAATTGTAAATCAATATATATATATATATATATATATATATATATATATATATATATATATATATGTGTGTGTGTGTGTGTGTGTGTGTGTGTGTGTGTGGTGTGTATGTATGTAAATATATATATATATATATATATAAATTTTTCTATATATATATATATATATATATTTACAAGCAGTGTCATGTCATCGATATATATATATGATATATATATATATATATATATTTATATATATATAAATATTTGTGGCTTAGTCCTTAAGTTGTATATAATCTATTCTATCAGAGAATCCCTCTTCATTGTATCTATTTGTTTCCATTCCATTATTATATATATATAAATATATATATATATATATATATATAGAAAAACCTAGCATTGGTATATACAGAATAAATTCAATTCAAAAGATCCTATTCTTAAAATAAACTCAATACAGAGTAGAGCAAATATGAAAGATTTATTCGAAAATTATGGCATAAGATAATTGAAAACAGATTTAAATATATATATATATATATATATATATATATATATATATATATATATGCAGGCATGCGTGTGTGTGTGTGTGCGTGTTTAAATTTATATATATTTTTTGTTAGCAACATCATCGCAGCAAATTTTTATTCGTGGATTAGTTTCGTTCTCAGTTAAGATAGTTGACGTTGAGAGGAAGAGAATGATAAAGAAGGAGAAAGAGAGAGAGAGAGAGAGAGAGAGAGAGAGAGCAAGCAAGAAAAATAAGCGCTATTCATCTTGTCCTCATCGACAATATCCAGAGACGGATATGCAATGTGATAGGTCCCGATCTGGCATCGGGTCAACAGTCACTCTGTCACAAACGTGCTGTGGCTTCCCTCTGTGTTTTCTACAAATATTTTCATGGCAACTGCTCTGACGAGCAACATTCACTGGTTCTTAAATTGCATGAATTTAAGCGTGCTACTAGATTGACATCAGCTTCTTCTCTCGCACTTCGCGGCAGCGGAACTCCCTTCCTCCTACTTGCTTCTCTGATAGCGATAATCTTCAAATATTCAAATGTAATGCCAATCGACATCTTCTGATGCCTTGATGCTGATCGTGATCCTCGCCCTTCACTATATTCTTCCCTCAAACACTTCTCTTTACTTTTGCTCTCACTTTCTGTAACCCCTTGCGTGCTAGTGGCACTCGCGCCTTGCTTGGGTGAAATGCTGAAAAAAAGATAGATAGAATCCTCAAATATTCAAATATAATGTCAATCGATATCTTCTGATGCCTTGATTCTGATCCCCGACCTTCTCTTAATCCTTTCCTCAAACCCCCTCTTTACGTTTGTTCTTGTTAAGGGATCCACCCCTTTTCATGTTAGTGACACTCGCGCCTTGCTTGGGTGAAATGCTTAAAAAATAATCCTACCAATAAAATCACGAATCGAATACCATCTGCACCAAACGAGTCAAACAGAAAGCAAAACTATTTGACCAAATTAAATTACAAAAAAACCCCCTAAAAACTGGGAGGACGAGGTGTTGCATTGAAAATACCTGAAAAGAACGAAAGAAGCCGATGTGGGCCAACAGAAAACTCATTAGTACGTGAGGCGCATCGGATTGAAAGTTGAGACAGAAGGTCTAATTACTGCTGCTCAGGAGCGCTTGCAACCAGCTTCCCTCATCGTCAAGGACGGAGCTCACCCGAAATGCAGGATCTGCGGACAATATGATGAAATTGTCGACCATATTTTATCACCATGTCCGGAACTAGCAAAAAATGAATATAACCACAGACATCACAATATCTGCACTGGACGATATGCAAGAAGCACAAAATCGAAACCACGGAGAGACGGTATTAGCAGCAACCAGGCACAGTTCCCCAAAATAACGGTGTAACTATCCTCCGGGACATGCCAATTAAAACTGACAGGGAAATAAAAGCCAACAGATCTGATATCATCATAAAAAAGCATGAAACTCATAAAGTGTATACTTATTGACATAGCAGTGCCCCCATGAAAATTATCGAGAAATTGTCCAAATACATTGAGATCGAGATTAATGTGGGGAATGAAGACTCAGGCTGTACCAATAGTAATCGGAGCACTGGGCCTCGTGAGAAAATGAATGGACAATTTTACTAACAATGTCCCAGGTAACACCAACATACATGTTGCCCAGAAGATCGCCCTACTAAGAACATACCATATACTAAGAAAAGTGCTGTCAATTAAATGACAATTCCACTATAGGGCCTAAGGACCATAGTTTGGACCTGGAAATACTGGATACAAAGCAGGAAAAATAACGTACACAAATGATAACAATAATAATTTTACGGGAAGGAAACTGTGAGAAACTGGTACTAATATCACCCAGACTTGGTGTTATAACTGAACGTACCTATTCTATTATTAATAGACTCTCCCACACATAATAAGTAGTAGTAGTAGTAGCGGTCGCCAGTTGAGCTCAGTGGAGTTGAGTGAGTCAGTCGATGTCGGACATTAAAGTATCAACGACCACAACTAGATTGCTGCGTCATTAACTCTTATTTCAAGTTCCTAACGTTTTGTACGTCGGACCCTTTTAGGACCGACTTAGCGAAATACAAGCCTCCACTGTGAAAAATACTCTACAACACTTGGTTACAGAGATAGCTACTGTAAAAGTTTTATGGGACTTTACATAGAGACAGAACAATCAATGCTAATTGCCCAGGCATCGTAATGAAAGCCCACAAGAACAGAAAACGTTTTCTTATTGAAATGGCAGCCCTGCTGATTGTAATATATCTTTGAAGATGTTAAAAAATACTTTCAAAATTCAAGGATCTTGAAGTAGTGATCTCAAAAACGTGGCACATGAGGACATCAATAATTCCCATTGTAGTTGGAGCCCTCGGATTGATTAGAAAAGGTTCCGATAGACTCATTGAAGGGATTCCTGGTAGTACATGCCTTAATGAAATACAAAAACAAATGTACTCAGGAGTACAGCACACACATTACAAAGGGCTTCATCTATGTAAAATGTGTGTGATCTTAGGATTTTGATTTTTACCCTCAAAACTGCTCATTGAAAAATATCATGATGCCATTTCTAACCTTAGGTCTCTGGTTGGGACCCAGAAAGAAATGTGTTTACATCAGAAATCAAGGGATTAATAATAATAATAATAATAATAAAAAGTACATATAACGAAAAAGAGTATAACTTTGTTATTTGTACAGGAGAGCTAACGATTGTAAATTTATTACCATTAATAAGATTATTAATAATAAAGATTTTTTTTATTACAAACAAGAAGCTGTTACAAATTAATCTTACGTTCTGTGATCAATAATTTCTGAAATCTTCTTTTCAGCCAATCAGCGGCAAGCCGAAAGGCCGCTCAGCTGAAGCAATAAATCGATTGGTCGATTTTGAAATCAATACGAACCTCGTTTTCGAATCTGTTTTCCAGTTAGTGTGCGTCCTGCAAGAAACGCTTCAGTCTTTCGCATTCATTGAAGCAAAAGATTCCATCACGACGCACACAGACCCAGTTTTTCTGATCTTGTATTTCTTTCTTTTACACAGACAAATACGCTTCAACGCAATAGCCATTGAGAATATGTTTGAATAAAACTAACCAACGATCCAATTAATCAGAGCCTTCAGAATAAAATATTTTGAAAAAAGAAGAAATATGAATTAAATTTAAACATTATTTATCCATTAGATTCAAATTTCAATCAATTTCTTTTCACTGTTTACAGCGATGTCGTTAAATTTATAAAAAAGATGTTCCTGCTTAATTATTTGGTTGATGTAAATGTTTCCAGCATTTTCTGATAAACTATTTTATAGTAAAATTCCCAGAATCATTCTGTGGAGAAGACACATTGATATAAGAATGACAATAGGAATAAATCTTTTGCAGACGCGTTTCCGACTTTATCTCTCATTTGGATTTAATGTAACTATGAAAACAAGAACAATTCGCAGTATTTACATTAGTCGGACTATTGTCCTCATCTTTGTCGCCATATTTGTCACAATGTTTCGGCCCTTGTACGCTCCGGCCTTCTTCAGGTGGTTGGAATTTCGAACTGAACCCTTTATTTCGCTCACTGGAGTAGACTGTTCTAGTTCCACATGCCATGTTTGATGGATGTCAGTTATCAGTTATCTCCTGCTAATTTTCCCATCTGAAAGTTCTCCACTGCCTTAACCAGGTATGAATTAACTTGCGCGAAATAAAGACGAACAAACGAGAAAACAGTAAAGAACCTGGGACATGAATAAAAGAAAGATCAAAAACGCGAGACGGAATTAATAAAACTTTTCCCCCCATCCCGGCTTTACAATTTTCTGTAGGATTTATAGTCAAAGGAATTGTGGAGTTAAGATCTGTGTTGGGCACTGGTCGAAGGTCACTTGGCTGAACAACCCATACCCGACCATCGCTGTTTTCATGATATTGTTAGGACTGTAGTGGAATCCGATTTTGGCATCGGAGGACTATCTCTGATCATGTTTTAATCCGTCGGTTCACCTTCGTAGCCCGCTTCCGGTGATTGGCAGAGACATTGGTAATCTGCGCACGGAGACTTGAAAAATGGCGATTCATGTGTGAGTATTGCTACCCAAGAACTAACACCTCACTCTTTCAATTAATTTTTTTTTCTTCCTTTCCGTCTTTTTTTCTTTACCTGTCTTCTTGATATTTCTGAAATAAGCTTAGTACGACACAAGGCTAAAGAAAGGTAAACAAATGAACGAAGACTGTTTTGCGTCAAGCTTCTAGTTTGATCGGCCATGATTGTTTGCCTGACAAATCAGTATCGTTGCCTTTCATTTAAGTTTGACAAAGGCGAGAGTGATGGGAAATATATGATTTCAACTGCTATGTAGATCTTTGATCTTGTACTGTCTTTTCTATTTATTTTTTTCATCTTTCATTTGTTTGTTTGTTTTTTTAATTTAGTTTTTCTTTTGCTTTTTCTTCATTTATCAAATGTTTTAATTTTTTCCCCTCCTCCATCGTTTTCTCTCTCTTTCATCTTCCAATTTTACGTTTATTCTTTCCAGCTGTGCTGGTCGAACTCTCTGCCTTCGGGCAGAGAGGAACCCAGACGAGGCTATGCCGAAGGGCAGAGTCTCGTCTGGGGTGGTAGACAACTACCAAACTCCGTTTTTTACGGGGTCTACAGGGAATTTTTGCCCGTGCCTATGGGCTCGGATACCCCACGTTAAATTCAGCCTTGTGCCACATCTGACCGCGTGGGGCGGTTGGCAAATATCTTTACGTTTTTTCTTTTCTCTTTCAGATTAAACTCTATTTCTTTCATTCTCTTTGTTCGTCCGTTTTATTCTTTATTTTTCTTCAGTCTTTCTTTTTTGATTTTTATATCGTCTTCCATGTGCCTTTTTCCTTCTTTTATTCCCTTTTTCTTTTGTCTTCACTATTACATTTTTCCATCGTCTTCCTTGTGTGCATTTTCCTTCTCTTTCTTATTCCCCTTTTTTTTTCGTTTGTTTTCATTCCTACATTTTTCTCTCGTCTTCCATTTCTGTGTTTTCCTTCTCGTTCTTCATCTTTTTCTTCATTTGTCTTCATTCTTACATTTTTCTTTCGTCTTCTTACTAATTTCCTTCAGCTTTTATTTTTCAGTCGACTTTCTTTTTGTCTTCGTTCTTTTTCTACTTTCTCCTCTTTCTTTCTCTTTGTATTCATTCCTCTTTTTTTTCACTGTCTTTTCTTTTCATTAATTTCCCCTGTTTCTTTTTTTATTTATATTTTTCTCTTTTTTCTTCATTTTTTTTTTTTTCTTCTTTCATTTTTCATTATGTTTGTTATTTTATTCTTGAGTAATTCTGCATCGTTCATTTTATTATAACTCTTAGTAATCCTTTTTCGCCATTTTTTTTTTTACTTTTTTTTTCTTTTGATCCTATTTTATAATTTATGTAGTTTTCTTTCTTTTCATTGTTTTTCTTTTTTTTCTTCTTTCTTTTCTTTGTCTTTCATCTCTGTCTTTGGTAACATTCTTTTAACTTTTATCTCCTTCTTTTCTTTTCTTTTCTTTCTTTCTTTCTTTCTTCTTCTTCATTTTCTTGGTCATCCTTATTCATTTCAATAAACTTTATTATTTTTTTTTCTTCTTTTCTTCCTTTAATTTTTTCATTATTTTTGGAATTTTATACTTTCCTTCATCAACATCGACAATTTTAATTTTTTCATTTATTTCAGTTCTTATTCTTTCTGTCTTCGCCATTCTTCATTTTTTTTTTTTTTCTTCTTCGTTTTTTTTCTTTCTTTTTATAATGTTATACTCGGTTGGTTCTGCTTTTCTTCGTATTTCCGCTTTTGTTTCTTTTTTTCACTTTCCTTTTTCTTTCTCTTCGCTGTATTTTCTTTTGTTTCCTCCTTTAATATTTCTCAAACTTATTACCTTTTCTCTTCTAAAAATAATAAAAAAAATTATGGGTGCGTATTATGCACAGCTACAAAAATATCTTTCAAAACATTGCCGTTTCATAGGTCGTAATCGTAACCTAATAATTCCATTTTCCTTCACTTTTTATTTAACGACTCTTCTTCTTCTTCTTCTTCTTCTTCTTCTTCTTCTTCTTCTTCTTCTTCCTCTCCTCCTCCTCCAGTCGTAACTTAATAATCCCGTTTTCCTTTAATTTGCTATCGAAATCCCTTCACTTCTTCTTCTCCGTTAATTGTAACTCAATCCCTTCTTTCTCTCCTTCAAACACTTCCTCCTCCTCTAGGCTGATGTTTAGCGCCCCCCGCTTTCGTTTTCTTTCACATCTCTTTTTCGATCTCTTCTTCTTCCTCTATCATATCATTGGCCCTCCTCTTCCTCACTCAGTCAAAAGGTAACCCGAGACTCGATGCCCCCCCGTTCACGTTCGCGCCTTATCGCTTTACGCCGACAATTTCCTCGTGGAAATTGTCGTTGGCAAATTCTTGAGAAATCAGCCCGGAATCATTCAATATGTAGATTCGATACGTGACCTTGGTACGTTGTCAAAATTTAGAGGTTAATACGAAGCGTATGCAAAGTCATATTCCAAAAGACGGATTCCATCATCAACACACGGACACACAGAGAGTAACAGCTCAGTGGTTAGAGCGCTGTTTTCACAAGCAAATATGTTTAAGGTCGACCTTTGATATTTGTTCTAAAAATCTGTTGTCCTTGGGCCAGTTGTTGTATGTCTAGTCCTTGCGCATATCGATCTGAAACAAATAGATCTACGCAGATAAACACACGAAAATTGGCTGTTGGACAGAACTTCACGATTTGTCTATTGCTGTAAAGATATAGTCTCCGATATCTATCTACAAATGAATTAATGTTTACCTCGCCTATTTGTCAAAGTTGGGACTGAACAATTACACGTCCAGGGTTAGTGTATCGAATTCGTACTTCGAGCAGTGGCACGCATGAGACCGAATAAAATGAAGGTAATGACGAAAGACGTAATAATGTTAAACTATACTGTAAAGAAAGTTTGCTCTAATTTATGTACCTGTAACGAAGAGTAATAGTAGAAGGATTTATTCTACCACCTTATTTCCCCCATTATGGGCATTATTATATGCGTGATATAATAATACCTTATTTCACGGACGGGAAGGAATGGCTGAAAGGAAAAGGAATGACAAAGATGCTTTGTTTTCAGAGATACTTTTATGCTAATAAGTCATATAAAACTATATATATATATATATATATATATATATATATATATATATATATATATATATACAAGTGTCCCATGCAGAGAATAATATATCATATATTTACACAGAAATACAGAGCGTAAGGGGAAATAAAAATTATAAGATGGAGATATTCCTGTGTCTGGAGAAGTAATGTTTATGACGCCAGATTCAAATGGGCCGGATTCATCTATGTCCAAGGCGAGAACATATTCCACGTGGAGGAAACAGCGAGTCTTGGGTTTTTTCCAAATCGAGGACTGTGAGTTGGAGTTTCATTCTATATCTGGGAAAGATATATTCCCAAGGGAAAACGGCACTATAGACTTGTAAGCTGCTTAGGATGCAGATTTAGTGCTGTCCTAGCTATGGTGGGGTAGAGGAAACCTTCTTACAGCTGCTGTAAACGAACTGAATTTGACTGCCGCTGTATTGAATGACGACATTAAACAACTGCCGCTTGACCAACATGATTTATTTCCACCAAAGTGAGATAATCGTCTACACTGGCAGTTATATTCATCTTGAATATTTGAATCTTTTATTAATATCTTCTATTTTTTTGATACAGTGACTATTTGAAATTGTTATCTTAGAGTAATTTTACTGTTTTGAAATGTGGGTAGTCGTTAGTAGTTGTTAACCTCGTGTATCATATTTGGTATTTAGTTGAACGCCCACGTGTGACCCTGTGACCCAAGGTCGAGTTTAATGTTATTTCATTGGTAGCGCAGTGTGAGAAAAAAATGAAATCTCGAAGATCCCTCGTACGAGAGCCGATGTTTCAACGTGATTTGAACGTAAACGTTTCTGGTTAAAAAACCGCTGCTGATTGTAGAAAGCTATGTTGGGAAAGCTCGCGAGAAACTAAATTCTCTTTTTAAGGTTTCGTAGTCAAACACAAAATGTACTATAAACGACACAGGAAAGATATAATAAACTAACAGAGGACGATAAACTAATTTGCAGCGCAGAAATTTGCTTCTATTTTGGCTCCTAACTTAATAGCGGAGAAATATGCAATTCCTTTCCGACCATCATTTTATTAAGAAAACTATAATTGGCATGACAAAACCAGTTGCAGAAACCAAGAATAGAGCAATTTGGCCCAATTATATATTTCATCTATCTCTATCAATCATCTGAGAGAGCACTTTCTACCTTAGTATGGCTGATGCTAACCACTAGCAGACTGACACGCTACACCGTCTCGGATTAACATTTTTCGCTGACACAAAGTGGAGAGATTATATTAAATCATTTGCTACGTATCTTTCTAGGGAAGGTTGATTAACTGTGTCATGCTAGACAAGTTTTCTATCCACAGTAAATCTTGTCTATTTATAAGTCAAACATTCGTCCGTAGTTGGAGTCTTGCTTTCGCATATGGTCTGGTGTTCATCATTTAGAAGATTCTTGATAAAATCCAAAGAAAAATTATTGGTCCTGACATGGCATCTGGCCTTCAGTCACTTCCCAAAATTCGTAATATAGATTCCCTGTGCCTTTTCTATAAATACTTTCATGGTAATTATTCCATTAGATATTTTTAAGTTGTTATTTTTATACCACACACAAATTGTACATACAGGAACTAGTTAGGATCTTATAGAGACATGGAGGTATTATGGTGACTGTAGTAAGAATGGTGAGTAAGTTTTTTTGATGTCAAACACTCATGCCACTTTTGTAATATCACCGAATATTCGCTGTCACTTTTGTAATGTTCGTTTTAATAGAGACTTTGTAATCGCACCTTCGAATAACACTCGCACTAATAGTACTTGATAATACGCGCTCGAAAAGTAACCACCGAATAGTCATCCGTGTAGTGATCCGTTTTGAGAAATAGTATTGTGAATAGTATAGAGAATAGTAACCCATATAATAATAGAGGATAGAGTAGAAATAGTGATCCTGATAGTAATAGAGGATAGAATAGAAATGGTGATCCATTAGACGCCACACTAATTCCCGTATATGCGTTTCCTCTATGGTCACGTGTTCTACTTAATTCAAAATGTGATCCTCTGTGTTTGTTCTCTGGCGGTCTATGTTCAAACCCCAGTGTCGGCAACGACTCTTTATTCCTATAAAAGAGTAAGAATGTGTTGTTATGATGTAAGGAATACTGTGGTATATTTGGGAAAGCAATTGTGGGTAGCTAAGTTTAAGGTAAGACAGAGTGAAGACCAGCCTTCCCCCATTTCCCCTCTTGACCTTGTGCTTCATTTTTTTTTTTTTTTTCAAAATGAATATTACTTTCCTCTAGATTTTATGAATTTAAGCGCAGTACTAGATTGGCGGAAAGGTCTCATCATTTTACACTTAAAATGGCTAAATGTAACCGTAAGTTTGATGCTAACATTTTCTTTTCCCATAATTCTCACTTATTGAACTCTCTTCCGGCTTTTTGCTTTTCAGCCATATTTGATCTTCAGAGATTGAAATTCTATGTCAATAACTTGTGTCTTCTTAGCTCTTGTTCTTTTATTATCCTCTCTTTTCAATTGTAATTTTTCTCATACTCTCTAACCCGCAGGGTTAGAGAGTATGAGAAAGTTGATCTACTGCCATCCTTGGGGTAAAATTATTTGTAAAAAATGAATTTAGGTGAAAGTGTTTTTACACACGATTTTTTTTTTTACAAGTTTAGGCTGAAATATGCAAATCAGGGGATAAAACCTGGAAGACATTTTGGACGAACATTAAATCTGCCCATTCCAGACTTAATGACTCAGAAATATTGAAATTTTTACTTAACACGTCTACAAAAAATATGGGTACCCAATAAAAATAAAATTTAAAAGGATAAAAATCTGTCGGATTAATAAATAAAATATATTTGCTGAGAAAATGATTTTGTTTGAGCTTAGATACGAAACTGATCAGATACGAACTTTCGATAATCTGGGAAGGATTTAGGATTATAAGCTGCTGCTGCTACTGCAGCTACTATCTTATCTATCTATCTACCCCAGTCTATTCGTATTTATCTCAGTATGTTCATATCTATCTATATATTTATCTATCTATCTATCTCATTCTGTTCATATCTATCTATCTATCTATCTATCTATCTATCTATCTATATATCTCAGTCTATCCATATCTATCTATCTATCTATCTTTTTCATTCTGTACATATCTATCTATCTATCTACCTATCTATCTATCTCATTCTGTTCATGTCTATTTCTTCTGTTCATATCTATCTATCTATTTATCTATCTATTTCATTCTGTTCATATCTATCTATCTATCTATCTATCTATCTATCTCCATCTGTTCATATCTATCTATCCATTCAATTCTCACGCTTCATCCTTTTAATTTGAGTAAATACATTTAAATAAAGTAAGAAGATATTATGCAAGAGAAATGCTGAAGATATCATTCGGGATATGTTAACTAACATAGAGACGTCATCCCATTGGATATCCTGGAAGAAAGTTTATGATTCGCCACATTGAACTCTCTTGGGCTCTACTATTTTTATTAAGCCAAATCAGATACTTTTTCTTGGCCCGACTGAGGAAGCTTCAGAATAAAAGAAGAAATAAAAAAAAAAAGAATCATGTTTGGTCAGATTTTGGGAAGCGGCTCGTGTCGGGAATTTTTCTAAACCCCAAGCTGCATTCTTTTTTGAATGATTTTTTTCCCCTATTTCCGCGAGGCGAGTTGGTTTGCTAAACATGTTTGTCGTCGCCGTCAGCTCGCCCTTCGGCTAGACGTCGATTAAAATCGTTGTATACATCTGTAATAAAAAAAAAAAAAAAAAAAAATGGCGGACCGCTTGGCTTTTGCGTCGCATTAGGAAGGATATATCTCGGCGAATCATTAGTAATAAAAATGAGGAGATAGCGTTAATCTAATTTAGTTGCCCCCATGTATTTAGCTGGACTGGAGGATATTTAATAAAGAGAGAGTTGATCGAAAATGCTTAAAACGTAGTTTACAGATGAAAATCAATAGACAACACACACACACACACACACACACATACACATATATAAACTTTAGCAACTTCCTTTAGCTACCACATCAAGTTTGGCTTATAGGAAATACGTATGTACCACAGATATCACAGTCTTAATAATAATAATAATAATAATATATATATATATATATATATATATATATATATATATATATACCCAAACACGCACATACTATCTATGAGTGACAGAGCTGATTTCAACTCAGGAACTAATTTCAACTCGGAACTAATTTCACCTCGGAGTTAATTTCAACATGGAACTAACTTCAACTTGGAATTAATTTCAACTCGGAACTAATTTCAACTCGATTTAAAAACCATAACTCTAACCCTGAGTTCCAAGGTGAAATTAATTCCGAGTTGAAATTAGTTCCGCGTTGGAATTAATTCTGCAAGCCCCCTCTTTCTCTCTCTCACTCTCTCTCTCTATATATATATTCTCTAACACACACAAACACACATATATATATATATATTCTTTAACATGCATACATACATACATACATATATATATATATATATATATATATATATATATATATATACACTTTAATATTTTCAAGGGTATTCCTCAAGTAACAGAGCTTTTAAACAAATAGACAATGTAGGAATCAACGGTACAACGCGTATTTGTTATATTCAGACTAAAACGTTGATGAAACTGACAGTCGCCATACAGTATTGATTTTTATATCCCCACTGAATCTCTCTCGCTGTTTATATATATATACCCAGCAAAATACTAAAATAAAACCAATAAAGAAGAACTCGAACACGGATTTGGAATAACACAGATATATTACAAACAGGAATATATACAGAGAAGTAGAAAAGTGTTAGTACGAACAATCAGGTTTAGTAGTAATTGTCTGAACGCGACTCTGTTTCGGACTGCCTCTGACTCGACTGACTGACTGACTCGCTCGCTCTGACTGACTGACAGACTCCTGACGGACTTCACTCCAGACTTCAGACTGAACTCTCTGCTTCCTCTTGAGGCGCAGTATTTATTACGTATGGAATAGTCCATTATGTTATTATGAGTAAGGTCCCATAGCACTAACATTGACAACGGAATTAAGCGCCTTGACAAAGATAGAGGTAGTACTAAAAACCAAATATGCCATCAGGAAAATAATTGTTTACACATCTCCTCATATCCATTTAATGATCTCTCAATTCGTGTAATGATATATGTGCCTCTTATATATATATATATATATATATATATATATATATATTTAATTTTTCCGGATTAACTTAACCAAAGTTTCCCACAAACATTGCAATTTATATGATCTGGAAATTCTACGTATATATGTACGTATATATGTCCACTTTCCTGGAGGCTGATGCTAACCTCCAGGAAATTGACGGGTTGCGCCTTCTCGGATTAACGTTCTCAACTGACATGAAGACTATACTGAATCCATTGCTTGGCAAGTAGCTAAGAAAGTTGGTTCACTGTGTTGTGCGAGACAATTTTTCTCCCTAGAATCTATCATATATATCTATAAGTCTACCATTCGTCCAGGCTTAGAGTATTGCTGCCAGTATTCCTGCTATTTACCTTGAGTTCCTCGATAGAATACAAAGAAGAATCAGCAATATTATTGCTCCTGATCTGGAGTCTCGACTTCAGTTACTTTCCCTCCACCGTAAGGTTGCCGCTCTCTGTCTTTTCTATAAATACTTTCATGGTAATTATTCGGAAGTTTACTTCGTTAAGGTACCTAGAATTTTAAAAATTTAAGCGCAGTACTAGACTGACGTCGAGATCTCATCAATTTACAGGTGAATTGGTTATATGTAACTTTATGTTCTATGCTAAGAGTTTCTTTTCTCGCACTTCTCGCCCGTGAAACTCCCTTCCGGCTCCTTGCTTTCCAGCCAACTATAATCTACAAAAATTAAATGCAATGTCAATCACTATCTACTGTCCTCCTGATTGCTATTTCCTCTTCTCGCTCATTAGTAATGTTTCTGTTTCTAATTCTTCCACACCCTCTAACCTCTTGTGTCTTAGTGGCTTTACTGTCTTATCGAAGTGTACCTTATAGGTAAATCCCCACTCCTGTTTAAAATCTGTGTATATATTTAAAAAATATCTGATATTAAATAAAGAAGGTTTATTATTATTAATATTTATTAAAACAGAAAGTAATACCTGATCCGAAACCCGACTGAAAAACTTTAATCGTAAACATTTTCTATTTAACCACCAAAGGCCAGACCTATGTCTGTATGTATACGTATATATGGTGTGTATTGGATGCGTGAATATATTCTCTCCTGCGTGTACCCTTGCCTGTCCAGGAGCATTAAGACGGTGTTGGCCGGATATTAGAACGAGGAAGGACCCAGCCATCTGGGCTTCAATATTTGTTCTCGCCTGTAACGCCTCCCCAACACACAACATTCGCTTGACTATCTAATCTATCCCCCAAACAGGAAGAGGGAAACTTGCTTTTCGCCTACCCACTTCATCGCCCTTGAAACTGCTCAGTAAAATTTCGACATTTGCAATCACCAGTAAACTGACACCAATCACAGTCCTCCTTCTACAAATAGGAAAGATTAAATAGGATTTCAGATAAAAGTGTTAGAACAGTTAACACGAACATACACAGATGCATAAACACACACAGACGCATTGATATATATATATATATATATATATATATAAAGAAAGAAAGAAAGAAAGAAAGAAAGAAGAGTAAGGTATATAATCCGGTGTTCTTATAGATATTTTTATTTTTACAAAACAGTGCTCAATGTAAATTTACAGAGCATTAATATTATAAATTAACTGATTTAAAATATGGTTTCTTCGCTACACAGGAATTAGCATGTTTCAAAAACTGAAGCTAAAGACTTCAAATTTAATTATATAATTAAATTAAAAACATTAGTTCTGTTTCATCTCCAAGCGAATTTTTCTAAAACAGAACTAATGCTTTTAATTTAATCATATAATTAAATTTGAAGTTTTTAGCTTCGGTTTTTGAAACATGGTAATTCCTGTGTAGTGAAGAAACCATATTTTAAATCCTTTAATATATATATATATATATATATATATATATATGTATCTGTGTGTGTGTGTGTGTGTGTGTGTACAGGGTTGCAAAAGTAGGTATACAGTAAGTATATTGCCAGTATTGTAATAGTTGTTCAAAGATCGTTTAAATCCGTTTTGCTTTTTATTACTGTATACCTACTTTTAACCCCTATATATATATATATATATATATATATATATACAGAACTGAACTGATAGATTGACGGAAAGTAAAAGAGAAGCGAAGAGAGAATGAGAAGAAGAAGAAGATGGTCAGGTTCTTTTTAAAAGTGAGATAGAGAGAAGGTAAAGAAAGACAAGGGAAGAAGGAAGTAATGAATGGATAGTAGTAAGCCCCCAAAAGATTGACACACCGAAGAATTTTTCTTTCATATTTTCTTCTTATGCGCTGTAGCCTATATTGTGCTCTCCCTGGATTAATATCCCTCTTGGAAATTACAGTCACAATATATATATATATATATATATATATATATATATATATATATCCAATTCAGTCGGGTTTAGATCCTAGCTCGAGGCAACCGGACGTCTAGCCACACTGATGAACGTTGATACAGCGAAACAGTTTGTCTGTGGATGACAATATATATGCTCTTGAAAAATTTATTTCGGTTGAGCTTTCTGGGAAGGAATTGTGGCTTTGCAAACAGTGACTATTATGGCAAGACTCTTCGGTAAATCGAATCGAGTCCTCTCAGTCACTGTGATGTTTATCTAAAAATAAACACGCTTAAATTCACATTCATCTCTGCCTTTCGCCAACGGCTTAGTGGTAGAATCCCCGATTAATGCTTATTCAGTCGGGTTTCGATCCTAGCTAGAGGCAACCGGACGTCTAGACACACTGATGAACTGTCATACAGCGAAACTGTCACACACACACACACACACACACACATATATATATATATAACTTTGGTTAAAGAACAACGAAATTTAAGCACAAAAATCAAAGAAACAAGCTCCCAGCAATACAATGATATCAAATTCAGAAACAAACCGAATAAATATAATTTAATAAAAAATGCAATATCTGACATAGTCCTTAAAAAATATCTAATAATAGCTAACGCTAGACGAAATTACTCAGGTATTAGGTAACTCATATCTAAATATCTACCGGCAATCAAGAAAACAATCTACAATATAGAAAACGGAAAAAATCCTTAATAAATAACATTAATTAGTATTTATCGATATATATATATATATATATATATATATATATATATATATATATATATATATATATT